TTTTTTGCAGACGATAGCTCGCGCAAGCAAGTCACAATTCTGCTAGTGGAAGATGTCGTCTTCATCTCGCGCAAGCCAGAGTTCTGGAAACTTCAGTGTTCCTTCGAGAAGCTCTGTCGCCATGGCATGGAAGTTGATGTGTTGACATCCATGACGTGCGAGAATCCATGTAGAAGGTTCCATAGATGTCATATGAGGAAGGTGAGCTACGTATATTGTGTGAGAACCCTAATTTCTTCAAAATCCCCACATTTTATAAACCTAATTAAAAACCCCAATTTCATGAACCCTAATTTTTCGATGTACATTGTTTATGAAGGGGATGACTGCGGTTTTTTGATTGGATTGATCCCACACTTTTTGAGTTCAAATAATCTTATTTTTGCGATTGAAATCTAAGAACGAGCCTTTAGAAGAGCAGTTGAGGCGTAAGGTTGCAGTGGAGAAAATGTACAATGGAAAAGCATTGGAAAAAGATGAAATTGTGGGACCGTGATATTGATTTTGAACAAAAACTAAATGATCTTGAAGTTGAAGTTCAGAAGAACAATGAAGCCGTGTTGGTTCTAAAAAATACATTAGCTCTCATGCATAAGTTGGAAAGGAATATAAATGTTGTAATGATTTGCTTGATTGTGGTTATACTGGTTTTTTTTCCTTAATGTAGTTGGGAAATCTAGTCATAAGCAGGGGCCTAAAATATTGCTCTGAATATTGTTTTGTTTTATCTCATTTGGTGGATGTATTGAACTTAAGAAGTAATGTAATCTATTGTTGTGTTTTATCTCATTGTTATTGTCCTTTTTTTGTTATGTTTTGTAATTTATGAGATAGAATTTTGTTAAGCAAACTGAGATCACATACTTAGCATAACAAAACAACACATTGTTTACAGAAAACTGAGATCAACATTACAATGATCCAGCACTCTAAACATTACAACAACACTACAAAATACCCAAACCTGATTACTTCCAAAATAATATCACATACTTGACACAACAAAACACTGCATCTAAAGAAGAAATCTGAGATGAACAATACTCCAAAATCATTACTAAGTTCTTCCAACAATCATTCTTTGTTCAAAACATAACCCAACATAATTCAACATCATTACATTCACAAAGTTATCCATCAATTGTAAACTATTTTGAGTGCCAAAAACAAAACGCAAAAGTCCATCCACAATCAACAATACTCCAACAGTACCTCGGGTACAAAATGCAGATAATAAGAAATAAAGAATAGAAGAAATTTGGAGCACTTGTCTTTCATTACCCAACATATAAGGAATGTTGAACACACCCTCAGAAGGAATCTCGAACGCAGAAACACAAACTCTCATGCAATTGGGACCACTTCTCTGCGGATTCTTAATACGGAGAGAAGATTTCAGTTGTAGAGTTTGATTTTTGTCGTCGACATCGATTTTTCTTCGAACTAAGTTAGGGTTAATTTGCTTTGGGGAATTTCTGAAATTGGGAATGGATGGGGTTTATATACTGATTTTTGTGAAATTCCACATATTTTAATTAATCTTACTGAGCAAACTGAAAGTTACACGTAGATATAACCAGCCGGACACGCTGGCATATTTTGACCGTCCGACGGGTTTTAAGTTCATTTTGCAAAAGTAAGACAAGGTAGAGATTACATTGCAATTATCCAAAGGCTTGGATTAAATTGCCAAAGTGAAAAGGTCAAAGTTTATTTGACAATTAACCCTTTTTTTATTTTGTCTTCAGGCAAAAATCACCCGTCTTTGTTCTTTAACTTTTGAAAAATTTAAACCAATTCATTAATCAACCAAATAGAAATTTTTATATCCCATGTTTTTCTTTCTTTAAGAATTTGTCATATTCTTCTCCAATCTTAATTTATACACAAATTATGAGTCATATCAATTCTAATGATCCTAAAAACGTTATGAATGAACTTGTGAAAGAAGAAGATGGCGATTTGATGACATGTGAAGGTATATTTGTGAAAGTAGAAGAATAAGAATCGAAAAAAGGTATTGTTGTGAATATATAAAAAAAAGAATCAATATCAATCTTCATGACGAGATTATGATGAAGAAGAGCTCCATGTCAATCCAAAGATTCAGAAAGTAATACTTTCAATGTTGAAGATATTTCTTCCAAATTATTTCTAGACGTGGAGATTGAGTTTGTTATTGAACTTGTTTAGTTATTTTTTTATCTACTTTTTTCTAATTTTATGTAGACATGTAGCATACAATTTATTTATTGTGAATGTATTTGATTGATTTTATGCTTGTTTATTAAAAAAAAAAATATGTGGGTGTTCAAATGCTTGGTTTATTGGAAAAGATGTGGAGTTTTCAAGTTGGATTATGTGTATGTATTATGCATAAATATTTTTCTTTGAAAAAGACGACATACAGTAACAATGGAGAATATGATGACAAAGATATCAAAGGTGATGGTTTGTGTGGTTAGTATATCATGACAGTCTCAAAATTTGAGAGGGCTCAATAATATTTTTATCTAGAGAAGCGGCAATACTCATTGGAGGTATTGTGCAGTTCGGTAGAGGCCGAAAAGCTCCTAGTCAGTCTCGGGCTCACCCCGTTCAGTACCGGGCAGCAGCCAATAAGTCCCGGAACGCACTCTAGCAGGATCCGAATAGCAGCAGCAACGCTCGGAAGCAGCCGCTTTAGGACCAAACAGAAATATCAGCAAGGGGCAGATTTTGAGCGATCAAATGAAACTAATCACCATTACCATGGCAGCATTTTAAGTGTGTATAATGCAGCCACAAACAAAAAATTATAAGTGATTAGAAAACATAAATTAAAATAAATCAAGTGCATGTTTTGTGAGTGAGTGCTCTATGAGTGATTGATTTTTAAATACTCATATTTAATGGAGCAAGTCTTATCTTTGTTGAATGGAGGGAAACGGATAGAAATTAGAATATATTGAGTGAGTTCAAGTGTGTTTTTTATTTTTTATTTTATTTTATTTTTTTTTTTTTTGCGTGCTTCTTTCCTTATCTCAGTATGGTCTTCTTTGAAAATGGGGTCTTAAGGAAACATATATATTTGTTCTTTGAGGTTACATAAGTACCAAATTCACTTACTCTGTAGTCTGTACATTAAAACACTTAGTAATTTGCTATAATTTCGTGTAAGAAGCTAATAATTTATGCTCCACACATATGAAGAGCTTACAGTGATCATAATCAACATTGAAAGCCCATACACGCATCAAATAAGCACAAAGCCACCAAAATACTCAAAACGTGACTAGTCTAACAAACTGAGTCAAAAATTGTCACACCCAGTAATGCCAAATTTAGTCACACCCAATTAGTAGTGACGCCGAAATCATGAAACCAGAATGAAAACTCACTGTGAAGGGAGAGCTTCTCGCTGAGGAACACAGTGTCGAAG